GATCCTACGTGGAAATCACATCATCATCTACACCAACTCATAGCATTGTAACAATTACCAATACGTGATCGGAAACAAGCTTAGGCTATAGATAGAATATATTTAATATGAATAAAAGATACAAGATAACATTCAGCTGGGACCACGCCTGCAAGGCCGAGCCATGCCATCCGACCAACTCCTTTATTCAACTTATTATTCACGCCTTCTCCATTCTTCTGTATGTATGTAGCATGTTTATTTCCCATATTGTCTCGTGGTAGGGCCCAATGCCACTAAACTACTCTCCCACCAGAATCAACGTGACTTCGGTTCGATACCAAATTGTGTGGGATTGTCGCGTGCCGGAGGTTAGCAATAGTAATAATAATCATCCGGGTATTGATGAACTGAAAGATGAATCAAAAAGAAGGCGGCAGCAACTGGTCGGGAAACACACGTAATAATTTTAACGTGTCTGGTTTAATGTTTAACACGCTTAAAATGAAAATTTGGGCGGAGATTATTTGAGCTAAACAAAGCAGGATTATAATTATAATGAAATGACTCCGTATAGGGATATTTTAATAAGTCGCCGTAAGATAGTTAGTAATAGCTGTAGGTTTCCTGTTTAGAAATATTAAAAGCAATCAATATTGTAGACATGTTAAAACTGGTATTATATTTAGTTCAAATTATGAAATAAAATAACGTTTATTTCAGGAATTTGTCCATGCGTCGATTTCCAATTGCATCTGCATTAGTAGGCTAACTGAAAGAACAAAAGTATAATCGTGGAGAAGGATTCCGACTAGTGTTTCAGTTAGTTTGATACGGTTTATTTAATTCTGGGGAGATTTTCTCGACTTCATTTCTACTTGACCGTGGTAGAATTTAGTAATACTACTAATACATATGAATGATTATCAAAAAGTTTTTTAATACGTGAGGTGATAATCATGTGGATTTCGGACAGGTAGCTAAGAGTGATTCGTTAAATGTGAGTGTATTCGTAGGAGACATGCTCAAGACTCAATGTTTTGACTTGCCATAAACTATTTATTTATATCTATACCTAACGGCTGATGGTGCACACAAGTTATTTGCAAGTATGCAGTTTAGCATGAGGCGCAATACGATTTGATTGAGATATAGTGATTATAAGTTGTTGATGTAGTGCCGCGAGATGACTTTGGATAAATAAGGTTTTACAAGATGATCAACAGCGAGTGATGCCCATGTGATTATCAGGAAGAACATAAGTTGTAACCAAGGGGAGTACACTCACAACTCATGTCTATGATAATGGCTTGAACCTTGGTCAGTGTTGGGGTAAATTTGAAATTGATGTTTTCAGTTTGCAGGAGATTCCCTCGACTGCTTACACCGATTATTTGCATGCATGATTGTGTCGCTAAACCTCCAATTAGACTGACAAGGTTTTTAGATATTTATTGAATGAGCAACTGATAGAGAAACATACTGAAAATCATCTGCAATGGATGATAGATCTTCTATCCTTATCGCTGGAGACTAAAGACGAGGTCAAGAAGTTGTGAAGGATTTAAGATCCATGACGTCCACCCTAAGATCCAAATTCAGAACAAAAGAATGAAATATGTATAAAGAAAGAGTAAATTCGTATTGCTTACAAAATAGAGAGAGAGAGTAGGCAATATGAGTAGCTAAAGCAAGTAACTGGAAATCTGTTTGATACTCGAATTTTACGAGTTCATGGAAAATTCTGATGTTATACTTTATTTACACCAAAGCTTTTATTGGTAGTGTCTAATTGGAATCGTCTGCAGGAGGCCCACTGCTGATATCGAGTACGACAATCGTATGCTGGAAGAATTACACCGCTCTACTCTTCTATGATTCACTCATATCCTGATTCTAGGGGATTCAATCTTCCTAAGGACAATTTCATGGAACATACGTATATTGGATATGAAAACTATTTAATCTCGGTTCTTCGACCTCATTGAGGATCTGCGATTATTCGAAAATTTGAAGTCGGCAATTCATTGAAAAAACAGTCAGACGTCTTCGTGCTTAGACTATGCATTTACGAACGAAGAATTCCCAACTAACAACCTCTCAATCCTGGCTCCCCTGGAGAGAAGCGATCACGCCGTCATAGCCTTTAGTTTTATGAACAAAAGTGAGATAAGACATCTCACCAAGAACAGGCGCTGGATTTTCAAATGATTGAATTTGTCAGCTATACAGGACAATCTACAGCAAGTGGAATGGGAAATTCGCCCTCAACTTGATGTGGGTGCTCATTAGGATTTCTTACTGCACAAGATCTTATGTGCTACAAGGCAGTCTGTTCTTCACATGCTCCCCAAAATCTACAAAAAGACTCCTCGTGGTCCGAATATGGTTCATTCTGCTATACTGAGGGAAGCAGCTTCAATCCTGGCAACACCACTTGGTGTGTTCTCACACTCGCTAAGCCGAGGCACATTATGAAAAGTTTGGAAGCTGGCTCACATCACAATAATCTTTAAAGGAGGTAGACTCAGAGAACCTTCCAGCTAAAGGCCGGTGGCTCTTCTCGCTATACTTTCAAAATTATGGAGTTCACGATATGTAACAGTATACACGACTATTTATTGTCTTTAAACTTCCTTTCACCCCAACAGCATGGTTTTAGAGGGAGTCCTTCTTGTATGAGCAACCCATTGACTGCGGTGGACAGATAGACAACCATCCTTGATCTCAAGGGGAAGTTTGACGTCATTTACCCTGACTTTTCAAAAGCTTTTGATAGCGTCATCCATATATGTCTTATCAATAAGCTCAAACGATCGGGTATCAAACCACCTTTAAACGATTGTCTAACTTCATATCTAAAAAATCGACATTTTATGGTCAGGGTCAACTTCAACTTCTATCAGACTATGGGATGTCCTTGTGGAGTCCATGAGGGTTCAGTACTGGAAACTCTTCTTTTCTTGATTTATATAAACGATCTTCCACAACAGGTATCGACATACTTATTACCTTTTGCTGATCATATGAAACTTTGGAGAGAGATACGCAGCCAAGAGGATATACACGCACTTTAGGAGGATCTGACTCGACTTCAAAGTTGGGAAGATGGCAATGGGCTCACCTTTAACACTTCGAAGTGCAAATTAGTCCATCTGAGACATGTTTCAGACTACAGTTACAACTTAAGAAACTTCTCTCTATAAGTATCCCAAGTTGCAGAAGATTAAGAAGTGTTGTTACCCTACAATTTACAGTCTTACACTGTGACAAAAATGCCGTTCGAGCAAACAATGCACTGGTAACATTGAAGCACATTTCTGGCCAGTTTGATAGAAGAAATTTTCATCTAATCTTCAACAGTTTTATTCGTATCCATTTAAAGTGCAGAAACATAGTATTATCTCCCTCACTCAGAAAGGATAAGGACACTCTGGAACGTATCCGATGGCGAACCACGAAATCAGTTCAGGGACTCAAATTCAAGCCTTATGAAGAACGCCTTCAATCACTAAACATTCACCCATCAGAGTACAGGTGTATTAGAGGTGACTTAATGGCCTACAGAATCCTTGAGACTTATGGACATCCCCTTAGACAATTAATTAAGTTTAGCTCCAGCACAAATCCAAGGGTTATCACCCAGAAACTAGAGACATAACATAGCAGAACGGACTGTAGACACAATTTCTATTACTTAAGAGTTGTCACATGCTGGAATTCTCCGCCGTCTGAGTTAGTACAAGTGACTTCCCAGGAGTCCTTTAAGAGGAAACTTGACATAGTCTAAAGGGCTAAGGATAGTATATATCACAGTAAGATATCTTACTATGATTTACCAATTTCTTTTTCTCCTTTTATCGTTAATATACTTAGGTTCCTGCCTGGAGGTGTTGATGATTCATTGATACTAGACACGGGAACTGGTTAAGCGAAAGCTTCTATTCCATCTATAACCATTTGAACCATTTGGGTATGGTGGACTATTGAAAGTCCACGTTACAGTTGTGCCTCTCCAATCGTGGTTCACGGACTTTTAGTAAGTTATATACAAGTGATGTCTGTAACTTGTCGTTACATAGAATATTATCACCAATATTTGGTCCTGGATGTGAATTATTTGTACTCGTGGATTTGTTTTAACTATTCTACAACATCTGTTGTTATCTATCGGTCTAAATTGTAAGGTAGTGCTGCTGTTTTGCAAACTATACATACAACGTGAATAATTAACCTCTGAAAGATTAGCTAATCGAGAAATAGTTATGTTCTTATTCATTCAAAAACATCAAACTATGCCCGTTCCAAAGACAGTCAGGCTAGTTACTCACTTCGAAGTCACCGTCTCTCCAGAAACTTGATAGAGAGAGACCGCAGTCTGTTGTTAACAGAGAGCCTGGACGTTAAAAGCTGTCAGCGCAATGCAACCAAATCATTCGTTACCCTCCACCTCATCTGAAGTCAGGCAAAGATGCTGACTCGTGAGCTTTTTTTGACTCCATTCATGGCCTACATCCTCTCACATCATGAAACACACAGAATTGTCTCACCCTCTTTCATCATTGCGAAAATGAATCGGCGAAAGTGAGTACAAAGGCATGCAGCGAAGCTATAAGTCTAAGTGGCAAAAAAAGGAACCAACTTCACAACTTGCGGTTGTACTGCCTAGGTTAAATACTGGTAGGCGACCTGGTGACTATGTAATATACTAAGTATTCTGAATCTCCCAAATAGAAATATCTTTTATGAAGCACCTTTGTACTTTCTAAAGAAACTCAAGACGAATTACACATAAAAGATCGAACATCCAGACAAGGTCGCGCCTCTCATTATCGGTCGGCGCTACATGGAACGCTCTCACAAAGGGTATGACAACAGCCCTCAGTGAAGCGTTTTGAGAGAAGACTTGGTAAATATGCACATACTAACCGTTCACCGTCTTTCGCGTGGAACAACGGTTGGTAAGACGCACTCATGGGGATGGATGTTTCTCACGCATTGGCGTTCATGTACCATATCTTGCACTTTATCCGTAATTATTATTACTGATTATTGTTAGTACGCACCCTATACCACTTTACCTCTACATCTCTTCATACTCCACATATTTATACACTTATTTACCTTAATCACTAGTTCAGCTGACTGATTTGTTTTGGCGCCTCTGCTCCTGTATTTTTTATTTTTGAAAACCTTCGTGTTACAAGAAACTAGTTTGCCTCTTTGTAACGTGATGGCTGCTGGTTCTAGCATTTTCACTGCTCTGAGACAAACACATTCATTTATACTCGAGGGTAACATGACTCAATCGTTCACGATGGTAGTGCATTCAATCCTTTTCTTCCTTTAAAAGCTGAGTTCCAAAATCTCGTTCTACTTTTTTTACCATTCTGTACCTAACTTTCTTTGCTAGTATTATTACTGCTCCTGCTTTTATTACTCAGGTATTTTCGAAGTAATTTTGTCGCCGTACTGTAATATGGCGAATGAAACATGCCAGATTTTATGTTGGGCATGATGAGTGATCATGATGATTCGAGACATCAACCTTCAAATTATTGTCGAATTCGTTGCGGTTAGTGCAACCAAGTGGTTAGAACACATCAGGGGATACCAAAGGTCAGGAAACCGTACCTTAACACCGAGTAGCGATCTCACAGAAATCAGTTGATTTACATTAACTTGTCACAACGATATTGGATATTCTATGACGAAGGTGCCTTTAAAGCCAACCTTGAATTAACAATACCGAAGTGAATTTTCGAACAATTTGACGGCAGAACTCATTTATTTTTGACAGTTTTATGCAGACCCAGTTGGATCATGCAAAATTTTATGCACTCTTAAAGAATAAGAATACTCTTAAATACATACAACGACGAGCTACGAAATCGTTCGAAGGACTTCGGTTCAGGGTTTACGAGAAATGCTTTAAAACAATCTCAGAATATAAGCAACTCAAAAACAGTATTTAATGACTATCACATCATGATAATTACGTAGTTTAGTTTAATATTTTCCAACTCGTTCTACCTTTGTGGGTCCACAAAGTTTCTTCTAATTTATCATTTATAATACATCTAGAGCATCATCTTAACCAACTTGATACATTTACAGTCTTTTTATTATATAGTACTACGTTTCAGAAACTGTGTCTATTTGTACTGCAACATTTTATGTCTTTGTAAAAAGTATTTCTATTCTAAAATCCAGATATGTTAGCCGCATCAGATCCTAGGAGACCCAATAAACTTCGAAGGTATGTCTTTATGATCATTTATTAAACCATTAAGATTCGTTCCATTGTCACAGGATGCCCCTCCACTAGACCAAACTATAGACTATCTTAATTTTTTCGGAATAGTCTTAAGCATGTGTGGACTGTTGTTTGAAGTAAGTTGAAAAAATGAGACGTCTATGCTAGTAGATGAAGTTTGCTGCTTGGTTAGCCGTCGTTTGTGCTTTCATAACGTATGCCAACTCAAGAACTGGGGAAGATACAAAACAGCTGATCAGTGGCTTCATGTAATTATGTTCCTTTTCGTTACTAATAGGTGGCATTTTCAGGTTGTCCATCAGCGCACTTATAATATGTTATATGCATAATCCTCAACCTATGCAGCTCCCGTGGTGATTTTCTTGTAAATCATGCGGATTTTTTTGAAATAAAAATTGGTTGTACTTTGACTTTTTGATTTTAAATCTCGGATTCACTCACTTCTTTAAATAAATTTTCATTATTCTAGGCTGAATTACCACCCCTACAGCTCCCTGCGGGTTCATACAATCCAGTCAATAAGCGTGTTATATATGTTGGTAAGCTCTCATTTATTTAGCTATTATTATTAATTTCTAATAGGGGGACTATCAGAGCAAGTTGATGTACCTCTTGTTCGTGCGGCGTTTATCCCTTTTGGAGACATAGTTAGTATTAATATGCCCATGGACTATCAAACTGGTAAGTGTCATTTTGTTTTTATTTCCTGTTAGAAAAACACAGAGGTTTCGCTTTTGTTGAATTCGAAGAAGTTGAAGATGCTATGAGTGCCATTGATAATATGGTAAGTTATATATTCATACGCTCCAATGAAATTTAAAGTACAGAGTAGCATTTTAAATATAATCAGTTTAAAATTCGAGATTAGTATAAATTGTTATAAATTTCTTATACCACGTTAATTTAAAGAATGTGGTGCTCTAAAAAGTAATACAACTTGTCGTCCTTGTCATGATCCCAACATTTATTTTAATGCTGATATATTTAATACACTACATCTAAAATATCTCAAAAGAGACGTTCTATAAGTTTTGAACATATTATAGCGTAACTTATACACTAAGCATGTATTTACGTACTGATGCGTTAACCTTATTGGGGTGTTCAGGAATCAATAAATTGTTGGTCTGTTGGTAAAATTCGGTAACAAGTACCAGAATTTTCATGGTTCTCACCACTAAGCACACAGTTGATAAAATTAATCACCAAACCTTAAGAATCTATTTTCTTCTCTAGATAGCATACTTCAAGGTAGTCAAAAGTACGATCAAACATTTGACGAAGGGCCAGGGTTGTAAAACCAGTGTAGTTTGGTGTGGGGTTTTGGCGAAACAGGAGTGCATATTTACTACAGTGTTTATAACAATCATCACAAACTCTACTAGTTGTATCCACGTTTACTAAAATGACTTAAATTAACATTCAGTAGCTGTATTAAGCTGTGCACTGTAAAGCTTCTACTGATTAATGGATAACAGTTACGAAGCGGGTATCAATTGTACAGTCTGAAATGTTTTGGTTCTTCTACGTTGAATTTCATGTTCTCAACTCAACCTGTGTTCGGGATGTCGTAGGCATTCTTTTCTTGTTATTAATGTTCATCAACCAAACTTAATAATGATGCGAAAAAGTCTCGCCCTGTTATTTATAGTAGGTTGTCATCACTTATGGTACAGACACGTATATTAATCGAAATTCAGGTTGAATTTCGGATTTCATTAGACTCTTAAATTCTAACCTGCAGATACTATTGATGAGGTGGAAAATTTAGTCCGAGTAGCTTAAGGGAACGACTGCAATCACGTAAATTTTATGTCGACTCATATTATTATTGCGGAGGATTTTTTATTTGCCAAATGCGTAATTCGCTCAATACATGAAACTAGTGCAGTAATATATTGTTTCCAACTACTGACTGGTCTACAGAGATATCCACTCGTGCTATACTGGGGAATTGTTTGTCCAGTAGTTGTTGATATCGCTGCTAATTAATTTATCACAAACTGTTATAATTCTCTCTCATTACAACCCAGCCATTCCTGTTGCTTAGTATTCTTAGACAGCAATTCACTCAACAAGTCCCCAAATCAGAACACGGTTGAACAGGAAAGAGATTATATTCCAAATAACAAGGTTAGATGGAAGTAAGAAGCACAATAGGATAAACGTTAGTATATTTATAGTTTTTACATGAGAAGATTTCTAGAGTGTCCTCCAAGTTACGGCTAAGGCTGATTGGCTAATTCTTATCTAATCAGCGTGAACTAAGGCAGTTGTGCATTAAGCATGCTTTAATCCAGTCTATGTCCTGCTAACAACATAGGATAGCGTAAAAAACGATTTTTACAGAATGGTTTTCTTGTTTTTTTAAAATAAAATTTTAATATACATATATTAGGAAAAAAATTTTTTAAATAAATATAGAAATATAAGCACACTAACATTATATATAATACAAAGAAAAATCGAAATGAACCAAAATGTCAAATAGGTTCTTACGTGCAATAATTGTTTAAATGCTCTGGAAACCTTACTCTTCTTCCAGAACGCGTTGTTTTAAGTTTATTTTCTGATACTGCCGAAGTATCATCGTGCGTGTTGGCTATCGGATGAGGTATTATAAGCGTAGGAGCCGTGGATAGGATTTCCTTCTAAATACGCTGCTTTGAGGCGATCGATGCTGATGCTATAGTTGGTTCCGTTCTTATAAACTATATAGTATTTGGGTTTGTGTTGAATAAATTTTAAGGGTCTTTCGTATGCTCATTCGAGAGGTTGTCGATGTGAGTCTCGACGTACAAAAGCGTGTGTACTATATCGTAGGTCAGGTTGAACGAGAACGACGACTGTGGTTGAGTGGGACCAGGTTTAACTGAACGCATTGCGAAAAATCTATCATTCTCACGTCCTACACAGATGGAAACAAGCTCGGAACTTATTTCCGGGGCTTACTGGCGGTCACCGTTCTTCCAAGGGTTGTAATATCCCGTCATTCGTTTATTAGCAACAATTGTCGGTTCAGTGGATAAAGGTTACTGAGGATGTTCAATGTACACCCCGCATAGGTAATCACTTGAGATTTATTTGATATACTCTTCAAAAAAGGAAAATACTAAAATGAACAATAAAGATTGAATGTGTAAACTAAATAAGTGTGATGTTTGGATTCAGGGAAAATACTAGCATACTGTAGTCGGTTTCTAAGAAAAACTTGTTTATGAACTCTTGAGAGTCTAAAATTTAATTGTTAAAGTATCGTCAATTTCGATAACGGAAGTGAGTGGATCGTTTAAGAAAATATTGAAAATTGCCATTGTATTGTTCACATGATGCAAAACGCTTACGGAGCTACTTAAGAGGAGCAGATCATATTTTTTTTCCAGGTTGTAAATGTATTAATCTTGCCTTTATTATCTCCCACGTGTAAAAACGCGGTTTAGCTAATTCTGAGGTTTCACAAGGTATCTTTGGGTGTGATAAAGTCGCTCAAAAACATCAGATTCGATGTTTCGGACACATTTTATGCTTGACACTAATGTCGTCCAAACAATTATCTATCAGCGTCTCACTAAAGCCTAAAGCCTTGCTCATTTCAGTCGACTGGGGTTCATCAGATAACTTTGAAGCATATGTTTAAACACATCGTTTCCTCTCTCTACAAGAGTAGTACTTTAGAGTCATGTGTGAGGAAATATTTATCACTTTTAGTGACCATATTCCACACCTTAAAAACAGAAGGGATGAAACTTTTGTTTGTTGTAGTGGTATCTCATAAGACATTCGCGAAGCCCTTCAGCTTAGGTTGCTAAACAATGTTTCTTCTTTCTTATCGGATTCGAACACAATATTTCGAATCCTCTGTGGGTTCGGTATAAATTTTCGGTATAAGTATAATATCGGGGATGAGCTCAGAACAACTGTTGCGAATTATAACCACTTGTCAGTCAACCCAAAAAAACAACAAATTTTATGGGGAGTTGACAGCAATATTACAAGAATTAAACAGATTTTTGTATGATTAGTAGATCTATTAAAGTCTTTCTGTTTGTAAGTTAAAAAAGCATCGTAAAGTCATCTATGGTGATATATAGATTATTCATCTTCCCAAACCTTTATAAGGACACAAATAGATTCTGACGAGCCCCTTCACTGTTAAGGGTTAGAGTTAGAAATTTAAGGTTAGGTAATTATTGTTCCAGTTGGAACATTACGATTCGAAATTTAAGGATAAGGACTTAGATTTAAGAAAAGTGTTGATCCGCCTGTTAAATGCAATCTACATAGAAAGAATTGAGCACTCAATTTGTTTGACGCTATCATATTTAATTTATAGCGAGGAACAATATTCGTTATCATTTTGTGCATTGCACAAAAGTACTTCTGTTGCTTGTGATATCAGATAAAAGTCGTTTGCCTTTGAATATTTTGATTGGCTTGTTACTATTGTACTTTTACTTGATTTCCTATCAAAAAGATAAACTACTCTTTGGTGAAACCATTCTAGTGTCTTCTCAATCTTATAGAATGAAAGTGAAATATTCGGGCGTACCATCCGTGTTAATGTGGCAAGACCAGTACGCATACGGGAGGGTTGGAGTCGACCTGGTAATGTTTTTTTTCAATTATTTATTATTGTCAGAATGCGAAATTTTTGAGACTATTCAATTTCAAGATAATTTAGATCACATTTTATTTAGACAATCAGTCAGCCATATAGTGTACTTCCAGTTATGTGTAACTTGTTGGTATCATATCTTTATATTGTTACGTCTCTAATGAATGTTTTAAATTGCCAACATTTTGTGTAACAGTTGGTAAATTTTGACACAATATTTGTTGATTTCTACGTTTATAACTAACTTTCTTCAAAGTGCTAGAGTATTGGATGATTTTCAGCTATTAATCTTATTTATTCATACGGGAACAGTTACTCTCAAATAATTTCACCCTGTCAGACGTTGCTGTTTGTTGGTGTGATGAGATTGCAACAAGTTGATCAAATTGTCTCAAGTTTTATTTTTTTTTAAATTTATTTTAACACATAGATATGCGTCACACAGACCTCATTTGGTATGTGTGAGGGCTGTGATACTGCCCGGGTGCCCGAACCGAAGCAGGTGGTTTTCTTAGGGGCCACACCCCGAGCCTTTGACCTAAAGGTCTGACCAACAAGGCAGTGGAGCATTGTAAGGAGATGGAGTCCCATGGTTCATACGCCATTTGTTCCTTCAGGATACTGGAGCTCATGTGCACAATTGGTTTGGAATCCGGTTAAAGCGCCGGACATTCGCTTTCCATCCTCTCATTTTCGTAAACAACACCCCTGCCACGAGAAGGCAGCGGGTAAGACTTCCCTGGCAGAGGCTATATGGGCGTGGCCATGTGAGAGCATTTCGAGAAGGAGAGCGGACTCTCCCCACTCTCGGCCGTACCAGGGCATTTGGGGGCGTTTATTTGAACATAAACATTGGTCCGACGGGGCACCTAATACATATGTGCCACACAATAACGATGAGGTTGTGAAGAGATAGAGGATGCAAACTGTGTATAATAAAAGAAGAACAACAACGAACAAAATTATTGTATGAGAGCGAAATAATGATAAAAATAGGAGAAACAGTTCACTTAAGATTAGTTCAAACGTCGTCCATAAATTAAAGTCTCACCACCAGTCCTGAACAGCTTTTGTACGTACCAGGACTCTATGTCATACACCGACTACCTTTTTGCTTTTCCAACCGGTCCTGATGTCGGCAAGTAATGCACGATGTGAAATTCGCTGGGACAACATCGAAGTCGATGCTTCAAGATGATGACATCAATTGAATTATCGTCGTTATGCGCGGACGCACGATTCCGAACCTCTGCAATACTAACATGGTGTTGCCACTGGATTTCAGCAATCCTTCGGAGACAACGATGATCGAACACAGAGTTGTCTAACATCTTCAACTAGGAGAGGCTATGTTTCATAAGCATAGAGCAAAACTGCTCTCACCGACGCGTTGTAGGTCCGACCTTTTACAGACAGACTAACATCACAAAGGCACCAACGATAGCCCGAAACAGCATAAGCCGATCTGGTTCTCACTGTACGTGAATTGGTCTCATCATTCATACCACCACAAGTACTTACGCAGTTACCCAGACGCACGAACTTCTCGACTACTTTCATCCGCCCACTACCAAGAGAGAGTGCAGGTTTAGCGTCTTGTAAGTCTTATAAAATTACTTTGCGCTTAGAAGGTGCAGAGCACACGACCTACGTACAGATAGTGATTGTCAATTGATTAAGTGCGGACTGCATGGCTTGGGTATCGTCGCACAGTAAGAATATAATCGAAAAATCTTTCTCCAGACAACAGATCCACACCACCATTCCCTACATCCATCAAAGCTGTTTCTAGAATGTGATCCATAGCAATGTTGAGGAGGAATGGTGGGATTAGGCAACCCTGACTAACCCCACTGCTTGAGTGGAATAATGGAGAGAGGTGGTTGTATGCCCTCACTCTGCCTGAGGTGTCTGTATATAAGGCTTCCAATATGTTAATAAAGTTCTAAGGCACACCCTTCTTCAATAGACAATCCCAGAGAGTAACCCAGTCCAACGAATCGACGGCGATCCTAATATCAAGAAACATTACTATGATGGTGTCCTAACATTTGACGGAGGGTGAATATATGATCAATACATCCTAAACCAGAAAGAAGACCAACCTGCTCCTTGCGAGCCAATCATTCTCAGTTTTTGAACAACCTACGAAGTATGATGGAACCCAACAGTTTGGATGCGATTGGAAGTAGAATTATCCCCCGACAGTTGTTTCAGAATCCTGTTTAAAGATAGAAACAACTATCGATTCATTCCATGATGTTGGAACACTAATTGCCAGACCTTTGTAAACGTATGTTCCTTAACCAGAAAGTCACTGTCATCTTTAAAATAGGGCGGGAGGTTAGTCATCTGAACCTGGTGATTTGTAACGCTTCGAGATTTGGGGTTCCCTGAGGACTCCCGTCCTGTTAGGTGGATTAGTCGTCACAGGGTATAGAGAGCAGGCAGTTTGATGGATCAGCTGAACTGTCCCTCGAAAAACACTGCCCATCGTCCAAGACGTCGGTGGATGTTATTTGTTATGGCTTTGTATAAGGCTTTCTATCACGTGATTTATCCACCAACCAAAATACGACTTATACAATATTAACACTGTACCAAACCAATGACGTCCGACCGGTATGAGCAGCTTAGCGTCCTTATTGATCCTATGTTCGCCTAGCCCGTCCACTTGGGTCCAGAACACCAATATCAGCTTCCACTATGCGAATCATATATTTCAAACATATTATGTTTATAAATCAAACAAACAGACCGCGACGCACCATAAAATGGGAAATAACATTTGTACACAATAAAGCCAAAAAGTGACTGTGAACGTGGAAGGCAGTAGTTGATAAACTGAGCATAATTTAAGGACAGTAAATCGTATAATAATAAATTATAAGTCAAAATGAAGCTTATAATAAGAGGAATATAAATATGCATAATCTAATCATTGAATAATTATGCAATAAGAATAATTATAGAATATTAATCCATTAATGGTCCTCAGAAGTTACCCGTCATTTGATCTTCATTGGGATATAACATTAGTGATTGACATCTCGTCATCTTCACAGATTGTTTCTCTCACACCAGACTTCTTGTTGCTAGTGACTTGGGTGAGTTGAAAGCGCTTCCGGTATTCACCAGATGTAGCTGCTACTCCCAACTTATTGTCACGCTCCGACCAGCAGGCTTATCGGTCCTTACGCAAGCTTTGTCAAATTTAATTGAGTAACAGTCTTCGTTTATGGTCAATTTCGCGGTCACTCGGAGTATACCGTCGGACTTCAATAAGTTGTAAGGAGCCTGAAGAAACCCAGTGCTTATAACATGGAAGATTCGCGAGGTCATAAGCGACTTAAATCGCAATTTTCATGGCGTCATGTAATTGCAACCAGTGCTCATCTATACTTTCTGATGGGATAGTAGCTAACCTTGGACCTAGCCCGGTTCGATATACAGTTGCAACATAAGCCGCAACCAATTTAATGACATTGATACGTTTGGGACGATGAATTCGCTGGCCACTGAAATGTAAGGTAAGATTGGCGCAAACAAGTCCAGAAAGGTACGTCAAAAGGAGAGGCAGTCTTGTGCACAACCACACCAGTTGTAGCTGATCGTGATGTGATCACTCTGGGTCTAGGCTTGAGATGTAGTGGAAGGACACCAGGTACCACATCGGCAAAGACTGTGTCGATAGTTAATGCTCGCCAAAAACAGGTTGTAGTCTGCACTAAGTTGCAGTAGGCGGTCACTGTTATCTGACCTGCGAACAACAAGTTCTCATCAGCCACCTAAACGACTCTTCTTGCCTATTCGCTCGACCTGAGCATCCAAGTTTCCAGATAGTATTACAATATCTGTCGAACGCAATTTCTGTAGAAGAACAGTTAACTGGTGGTAAAATTCGTCCTTAGTCTCATCCAGGCTGCAATCTGTCGGAGCGTAGGCGGAGATGATGAAAAGAAAGCGTTTCCCGCACCAGTTTCTGCGTACTTTGATGGAATTTTGTAGTGTAACAGCACATGACCAACTGTTAATGGGGATCCGATTGGTCAATCATGCCTCAACTCTAGAGCTTAGTGTGACACGAACGCCAGCAAAACGAAGATGCCACAGGGTCCCCGGACAAACACATGAGAAACAAGCTTTTCGAAACTACAGATGGGAAGTGGGTTTGTGGTATTTTACTAGTCTTGAATACGGGTCTCTAATAGACAACAGATATCGACATTAATACTTTCTAAAAACAGCCAATCCTATCTGTTGTCCGATCGGCATTAGTGTGCGAACATTAGAGGAGGCTAGTTTGAATGGTATAAGTGGTTTCAGTAAGACTGGGCTAGTATTCGTAGTCGGTGGTAGCATTCAACTTTCGACCTATCAGTGACTTGAGATCGTTTAGATAGGATAGGGTTTTCACCATAGGCGAGCTGCTGTGTAAGGTGAAAAATAAAATACATAAGGGACGTGGTATAAGAGAAATAAAAGCGGATGTTATCACATGATTGTTAATGAGATTTGTATGAGCATTGAAGCAAGAGGAAACTTTCCAGGTGTAGTTATCATTGATTTGTGTGAGGGTTGTGATACTACCCGGGTGCCCAAACCGGAGCAGATGGTTTTTTTAAGGGGCCGCATTCGAACATTTGACCTCAAGGTCTAATCCACTAGGTTAGGAGATGCGGTCCCATGGTGGTCGGTGACCAACAATTGGTTCATACGCCATTTGTTCCCTCAGGATCCTAGAGCCCATGTGCACCACTGGTTTGGGATCAGGGCTTTCCAACTCCCCTAAGTGGATCTCCGTATCCATCAACCCAGTTAAAGCACTAAACATTCGTTTTTTGTTCTCTCCATTTCGTAAACAACACTCCCGCCGCAATCAAGTAGTCAGTAGAACCTCCCTGGCAGTGGCTGTATACGCGTGGCCATGTGAGAGCATTTTGAGAAGGAGAGCTAACTCTCCAACGTTTAGTAATATTTAGGTATAAATATAATGATATAAATATTATGATTTCAATAAAACTATGTAAGTTTAAAATGTTCCCTACATATTCCCATATTGAAATTTACATTTGAAGTCTGGTCGGACGAGAATTGGTTAAAGAAATATGGCAGTGCTCCATTAGAAGGACGAAAACTGGATGAACCTGATATCGTCAACCCATCAGATTCTGCAGAAAATGTTGAAGACATGGTAAGGCTTTTAAAAAATTGAATTGAATTGTTTATGATGTAATCTACTGATGGGAAATCTCAGACATATCATGGTAGGATTTCTCTCAAAATTTCATTAGTTCGAAATGCTACATTTCGCAACAACACAAACGCGCTATGTCACACTAACCTTATTCTTCATCCATCACTCACAAAGCAGTTGAAATCCAGTACTATATTTACAAATATATTTTAATGCTTTTTAAGTTTGTTGAACCATTTCTAAATATGATCGGAATCCGTGGAGCCTTCTAATATGTTTGATTTTACCGATAAGTGGTGTTATGTACCCACGAATCATGTTTCAAAATTTTCCACTCTACTCTGTTCACTTAGTATTTTTACTTAATAAGCACAGGTAAAAATCAAAAATGTTCACTTCAACCTGATACCATGTTGATAAGCATATTATTACTTGTAATATTGTATGTAATCAACATATTTGGTTTCCGAACTTTAGGTTTTTTCTTACAGAGTAAGCTGATCAATGGAGTATTATTAATTTTTTTCAAGGCTTTTCGTATGCATTGATGTGCTTAATAACACAAGTGCAACGATAAATATGATTCATTGGCAATTAATCACATCAGTATAACGCTCGACGGTCTTTTCGATTTTCTCCAAAATGATATCCAGTAAAAGTGTTGGATTATTTCAGTAACTAAGACAATTTTCCAAACCGTTCTTGGTTTTTTATAAGAAATTTCGTATAGATTTGGTCAAATAGTTTCACAGTATTTGGGCGCCAAGTTGATGTAAGACATTAAAGAGGAAGAATGTATTTGTAAAATCTCAGTGAATGGATTTGGAGTAAATCTAACGTTCCACCTGTCAATCTGATCCAAGCTTTTTCAAGAAATTATAATCAAACATCAAAACTATAAAACATAGTTATGCAGTCAGTTCTCATTAGGTGGTAGGATTACTAGAAAAAAAAACTAAATACGTGCTATTATATCATGCTAATTCTTCCCATGCATGTAGCTTCTTACATTTCAGATGACTTTGAGAAGATCGCCTTTCTGTCTGCATAAAAGGTTGACAGTTATCTAAGCTTCAGTCCCTTTTCCTACTTAGTGTTTGCTTCTAATTAATCCAAGTAGTTCAGGGTTCCTATTATTAGAATATCTATGACTTCAAGCACTGTTATATTTTAGAACTACTATAAGTAGTTCCGTAAATCATTACAGTTTAACTTGTACACCAACTTAAAATTTTACCTTTACTTATGTACTCAATCTTCACAGAGTGACGAAGAAATGCGAACCAAAAAACAAAAACGAAATCTTCCTCGGGTATTCTTCGATATTCGAATTGGAAATGGAGATGCTGGTCGTATAGTGATGGAGCTCCGGTCAGATATTGTCCCGAGAACTGCTGAAAACTTCCGTGCCTTGTGTACAGGAGAACGTGGATTCGGTTATCACAATTGTTGTTTCCATCGAGTTATACCACAATTCGTATCCATTACCTAATGTATTTAAATGCCTTTGTGTAATTTTTACATTCTTAAAGGAAAGTGACAGACATTCATGTAAAACAATGAGGCTGGAGATTTAGCCGAACAGCTGTTGATGTGAGATCAATCCAGACATCTTGCATATTATCGATATTAATGTGTAAAGTTAAAAAAAACTTGGGGAAAACTAATTCTTAGTTGACAGTAAAGTCTCTTAGTTCAAATGGCTTAAACTTTGGATCGTAGTATGGTAGGTAACTTTTATTTTCAACGCAAGCCCATATTAAGGTTGCTTTTCAACGTCGTTATTCATCAAAATCCATTAGCTGATTGTTTTGTTTTAATTTATTCATCTCTAATTGAACGAAATATTTCCAATTTTATACTATATCCTTGATAATGCGTGTCTAATCAGATGTGTCAAGGAGGCGATTTTGTAAAAGGGGATGGGACCGGTGGCAAATCAATATATGGACGTAAATTCGATGATGAAAACTTCCAACTCCGACATGAAGGGTTCGGTGAGTGTGTTTATCTTTTAGTCCTATTAATGTGCTCTTACCTTTTTAGAATGTTCAATATAAAAAATGTAGAACTGTTGATAGACACTTTAATCTAAGTCGTATGAGGTTTTGACATCAACTAAATCATCTGTTTTTGGTTTATATGTTGTTCATAATGAAATACGAGTTTAATAATCATCTGCCTAGCATTTCTTTGAAGAGCCTACCAGCTTAGTTTATTTACATATGTTAGATAATATTACCACGCAAGTATCTGTACTACAGCTCCGACTAGCAGTGGTTATTGCGCGAACCCAAACCATGTAGTATGCACCCACCGAAATGGCTCAAATCAACAGACATGTACTTTGTGTACTGATACGATATCTTGGTTTGCCTTATCATTTATTTGAACACATAAATATTGGTACAAGGGGCACCGGATATATATGCGCCACACAAAACATTGAGAATGGGAAGAGAAAAAGATTGTAAGGTGCGTATAAGAAAAAAAAAGAGAACAATAAAGACCACAGGTTAGTGTATGGAAATGAAATAACAATAATAATAATGGGGGGAACGGAAAGGTACAACCAGAAAGAATTCTCTCAGTTAAGGAACTTACAACCACTTTTTATGAAGTAAAAGAAGGTTACAGCAGGATCGCCACTGGCTTCTATTCTGAGCCATATCTGATAATATCTCTACCCACTGTGTTGCACCATCTCTAGGACCCCAGCTAGGGAGTCTAAAAGAACAAACAGAAGCCAGCCCTTTGCAGCTTTCTTTCATACTACGATACCATGTCATACACTGACCACCTCTGCTTTTTCCAACCAGTCCCAGCGTCGACAAATAATGCACGACGTGGAATTCGCTGGGACGACATTCGTAGAACATGTTCAAGCCACTGAAGTCGATGTTTCGGGATGATGACACCAATTGAATTATCGTCTCTGTGCCTGAACACACGATGTCGAACCTCTGCGTTACTAACATAGTGTTGCCACTGGATGTCAGCAATCCTTCGGAGACAACAATGATCAAACACAGAGAGTCGTCTAACATCCTCGACTCGTAAAGGTCAGGTTTCACAAACATAGAGCAAAACTGGTTTGCCTGCCCGTAGTTTTCTGCCGACCCACTTCCACACCAGCTATCGTTGCGCGCCGTGGTAGTTGGTGGATGAGTTTACATAATACACATCCTAACCATCTAATTTGATAAAGATTGACTACATTATCAATCCACTTGTCATTCCTACATAGTAATCTGCATCTAACCTCAGAGTTGCTAATTTGATGGTCCCGATATATATGAGCGGTGTTCCGAGTACTAATGACCTATAATGTCCTTTTAAAGACCACTTCCCACCATCATAAAGGAAAACGTCGAACTACTGAGCAGTATATTCGTCTTTTGGTTGAGAAATAGTCATGTCGCCTACTCCACAATTGATGCAAGTTGTCAAAATTCAATCATGTCTACTAATTTCGTTAGATACCAGGACAACAAAGGTAGTTGTAAGAGGAGCTCCACGTTTGTGGCATTACATCCTCTTTCAGTGGACAATATTGTGTGTAATGAATAAACAGTGTGACTTGTCTGTATTATGTTTTTCGCTGTCATACACTGATGTAGACCGTTATCTATGAAATAATGTGACCCCTGGGGTGGGTCAGCGTTAGTTAACCCACTGATATTATTCAAACGTCGTTTAGTGGGTCGATCCGCAATAATTTCTCAGACTTTTGGGAGTATTATGTTATGGGTCAATGTGATCAGAAAAAATGTAACTGTTCTATAAAATGTAATAATAGAGTTCATGACTACTGAGTAGCAGCGCTGATATTATTGGTGTTGAGACTGTTGTTCATTATGAAGTTGCAGATTTCGTGCTAGGCTAGCGTAATTATTGAATTCACATTTGTTGTTTATGGTGAAATAATCAATTTTCCGAACTCCCCTAACTTGGTTCAATGGAAAACGACATCTGATCAATTCAGCAGGTATATCGTACCCAAAGCCTAATACAGAGAGGCACCAAGTACATATGCGCCACACGAATCCCAATTGATTTGTGTGGGGGCTGTGATACTGCCCGGGTGCCCAAACCGAAGCAGGTGGTTTTCTTAGGGGGCCACACCCCAAGCCTTCGACCTGAACGTCTGACCCACAAGGCAGTGGAGCATCGTGAGGAGATGCGGTCCCATGGTAGCCGGTGACCAACGATTGGTTCATACGCCATTTGTTCCTTCAGGATACTGGAGCCCATGTGCACCATTGGTTTGGAATCCGGTTAAAGCGCCGGACATTCGCTTTTCGTCCTCTCATTTTTGTAAACAACACCCCGGCCACGAGAAGGCAGTGAGTAGGACTTCCCTGGCAGAGGCTATATACGCATGGCCATGTGAGAGCATTTCGAGAGGGAGAGCGGACTCTCCCCACTCTCGGCCGTACGAGGGCATTTGGGGGCACCCAAACCTAATAAGATGAGCTAGCTATTTAACAATAATTTTAAGTAAGTATTAATTAAGTTCAATATTATTACACTTGTATTTTGTCATTTTAGTTAGGCTTTATTGCTTGTCTCACATTTGTTGCATTATTTCTCTTAGGTGTTCTTTCCATGGCGAATTCTGGACCAAATACAAATGGATCTCAGTTCTTTATTTGCACAACAAAATGCGATTGGTGAGCTTTATATATATATATATATATATATATATATATATATATATATATATATAAATGTAGACTTGTCCTATGATATATTTTTATTAAGTATGACTCGTAAGTGGTATGTGATAATCTAAAAGTACCCGAAATATGTGCATGCCCTATTGCCAAGGCGGAAAATACAGCACTGTGAAGTGATGTCTGTTATATATCGGGCGATAGAACTAGTCATTTGAAACACAAACAGAAAATGCGCTTGAAACTATATCCCAAGCCATTCGGGTTTGTGGACTTTAAGATTATTAGTCCTGTGCAAAGCGATGCTAACCAAGCATATTCCAAGTCGTAAACTAACTGTCATTCTATCATGGCGTTAGGATTTCCAGGTAGAGGGATTGCAAGGTCATTCATAAAGCATACAAGAGAACCTGGGGCTGACGTCTTGAAACAATTTTACTACATCCAACGTGCAGCCACAGAACTACTGATATGGTTTTCATACACCAAGTAACTTTATTGCTTCATGCTACGAGGTTTTATTTACTCAAACTAGACGTTTAATATCTTTCTTCTCACGAACCTTAAGTTATTATCCAAAATACTATGGCTTCAAATTACCAACACTTCAAAACGATCTTAGTATTTTCTCGGTTTCGAACTTTCCTACAATTAAATGAATATTCATAAAATCTCAATAACAAAACCTATTTTTACTGACTCGAAATTTTCTGTTTATAACTTTACAAACGGTCTCAGACACTTATTAAATTATTTAAACATCTTTTCTATAGGCTTGATGGCAAACATGTTGTTTTTGGTCGAGTAGTGGATGGACAAAATGTCGTAAAAAAGATGGAGGTTAGTTCTTATCTCCTTACCAATTATTGACATAATTTATGTAATGCTGGTAATGAGCTTCAGGCACCGTTTGGATGAAGTAACAACTTCACATGCACTAACACGCTTAAACTAGTCCCAGAAATGTTAGTTGCATTTGCCGTTAATACATTTCTTTTTAATTACTATCCGCTTAATATTAGGCTACCATATATCCACTGCGTCAGATTTATGCTGTATAGAATAGTTTTACTGTATCAACAAAAAGGGTATTTATCAGTTCTCACTGTACCATACTGAGGATATTCCCTGTTATTTATTTCGAAATGGTCTCCATTTCTGCATGCGATTCAATTGCTTGGTAATACTCCTTTTTAAAAAGCTACTGTACGGCATGTTAGATTTCCATATTGTACTTAATAAATTTTTAAATGGTTTTACAGTCCGTTGGGTCGAAATCTGGTAAGGTCAAAGAACCCGTTATTATTTCTCGGTGTGGAGAATTAATTTAACACATCTGGATTGTAAAATGGAAGGAGAAATGTACAGTTTTGTTTTTAAATGTTTTTCAACAATATACCATTATTAAAATAATTGACGGTAGTTTTTAATTATTTTAAAGTTGGAAATAGGTAATAGACAGACATTTAACGTTTCGGTTTATAGTTTTAAGCTGTCCATAAACTAATTAGACATAAAGCATGTACAGTGACGTAGATAGACGAATCGCTGCAAATGATAACTTTGGCCACACCATGCTATAAATAATTTGTAAGCAGTACGATATAGCAAGTCTGATTTAAGGTGGTGTTTAAATTAGTCTGAATTCAACCACCTTTCACTCATCAGACGGAGATCCCCACTTTATTAGACAGTAGTTCGTGATCTACATATTCGTAGAAATTCTGCTAATCTTGATCTCATAGGAGAACTGAGTCAGTTTTCGAAAAATTCTCGTTGTACTTTAATAGGTCCTTCGGTTCGTTTCGAGAGAAATGTACATACAATAGGTTTTTGTCTATTTCTTCGAGATTTTCTCATTAGCATATGCCACACCACTTAGCATTGTATCTTTTATGTTATCACTACCCATGTTCATTAAAATTGGTTCCCTTACACTTCATTGTTATGAGAATAAAGCCTTCACAACTAAGTTATTCCGTAAACTTATCACAGTGGTTCATTGAAGACGCCAGCGTATTCACTGGCTATAGCGCTAATTTTGATTAAACATTGCCAACCTGGTTTTCTAGGTTATTCTATTCTTTTATCTTGATGGTTCAATTCGTTACCAATTAATAGACATCTGGTATATATAACCAGATGCCACTTCAATTTGGATGATATGATGTTATACGAAGTTTACAATCAGACCAACAAGTTTAATGACAATCCTTTTATTACGTTTAACTTTTACAACTATCTTAGCATTACTAGCATGTTAAGTTTTCTTCCTCAGTTTGGAGATGAGGATTTTAACGAAATTCCTTTCTATACGTATGTTTTATTTATCTTATGATTCCTGTTACCATTTTTAGGAGTATCAGTGAATAATACATAAAAATAAATTGGTCAGAAGTGTATGGCCAGCTAATTGCGACACAAATAATAAAAGCTTGTAATTAATCGTTACTTATGACTTTTTATTTTGTAACCATTTTGATATCTTATAGCGATGATACATCGAGTTAAGTAGAACTTTATACGGATAATGTCCTTCATGGGGCATGGTCCATAAACCAAGCAGTCTTCGTAAATAAGGGTGCATTATTAAAAGATGCATACACAGTTGGTGAATTGAAGACGTACACCAATAAATCACAAATGCCTAGGATATTAACACATAATGTAACCAACCTACTTTTGGAAAAAGGCTGCAACACGCGAAAAGAGCAAGGTTTCCAACCCAACTAACAAACCGCACAACATTATAAGGTAGAGGATCTGGTATTACAGAATTAGATTTTGGATTGAAGAACAGAGGTCGTCTTAAACACGCTAGTTCTACATTTGCCAATCCGGCTAACGTACATATGGAGGGAAGCAGGAAACTTGAGCACGGAACGTTGAGCGACGAATCGGCAATCACTATTAAGTGAAATAAAAACACTATTAGAAAGTCAATCGAAACAAAACTTAATCACTTGGTTTTGAAGTCTGAATGTTTTGCCTCACAAATGATTTTAGTTTTGGAGATGCAAACCTGTGCTGTTATACTGGTGTCTTTTTATCAACGATGAAGAATTGAATCACGAGCAACCTTACGAATACAACTGTTAATAACTGGCAGAAGTGAGAATAGTGACCTGATTCAAGTTAAAATCGTCAATAACATAAAAGATCTGATAACTACCTGATGAGATCGTACAGCTACATTGGGCATTGCTCTATGTAACAGGGACCATGTGACAGTAAATTGACTAGCTCACAAGTAGACGGCTTTGTGGGTAAACTTATGATTCTTACTTCAATGGACCACAAACATGGTGATAAACATTCCTATGTAACTTGAAACTAGGAATTGAAGCTTTGATACAAATCTCCGAATTTCTTCGAGAACATAGCCTGTTATTAAATGCTGGTCCGTACTTTTACCAACAATGGTTGCAAACCAAGTAATTATGGAATGCTGAGAACTCGTTATGCCTAATTTTTGAGACACGATCGCTCATAACTGCCGGAGTTTGCATGTGTTGCCTTAGCAGATACTTCCTTATATAATGTAACATGTGCTGTGAACATTCGGAATATTTACTTAAGGGACTTTTAATGAGTAGATCTACTCCTCTAGAGGAATCCTTGCTTTCATAGTATCTTAGAAGAAATGGCTTTGAAAAAGGTTTAAATTAAACACAAATTTATAGTTGATGAACGTTCTTGGTAAGATATTCTTGATTTATAGGACGTCATATCTAGCGCGTGAGACCTACTGGGAATAACACATTGTGCTTCCACATTTTAAGATGAGAAGTTTTCGAGTATACAGGTGACAAAATGGTAAAGACCAATAATTTACGAGACTCACGATGATTGGAATAGGATTGCGGATACAGTTGGAATCCACTCAAGTATCTGATAGAGAATGTGAATGTGAGCCACAATGGGATTTGGATTATTCCTGTAACTGACGATTTCAATGGGTGACATCCATTTTTTTCGCATGTTTTAATGAAGACACGTCTGAACTTGAAGTATCTATTTATTCAAAGAACCTTACCAGTTGATTTTCAAGCACTGATTTTCTCATAGTACTCGAATTACGATAGTACTCAGAATTACTAAGTTCCGCTTGCATCATCTGTCGATTTCGTTGACATTCAATGGCAATATGTGAAACTTTAGCTTGGTTCCTCTCAGCGTAGATATACAATGGGACGGTTACGACTGTTCGTACTAGGACAGCAGTAGTTGCGATTGTCAGTCCCCATGGCAACCCTAGATTGTCATGAACACCAAGAAGTAGATTCGTTATCGTTTTTACGTGCAAATGATCAGGATGAAACAGTTCTTTGCTAATATAACTGAAAGAACTTGTGAAGTATGAGCAACGCGAATAATAAACTAGTCGAAACCGCGACATAATTAACCTTGAAAAATGATGTTCAGATGATGCGGGAAAACATGTATAGCGTAAACAATTTACAATATATGAACTCTCATTTTTGCCCGTTTTTGGATCCAAGAAGTCGAATTAAGTATAAATACTTGTTTTAATGCATTATTATGGGTTGGTGATTGTTATTTTTATGTGCAGACGAATTAGCTGTTCCACTTGGATAAGCAGTAAGGATATTTTTTTAGTATCACGTAATAAGGGTGCCAGCTCAGTTGTTTGACTTATGTATTTATTCTCCATTGAGGAACCAGATTCTGCTTGAAATAATTCAACGATGGACTTGATACCACATCTCTGCCTGAAAGGTCCAGTTGGTGATCACTCGACGATAAGAAATCTCAGAAGATTTTTATTCAACTATAGCTTCTGAAGCTGTTTTTAATAGCCAAAGAGTTCACTGCCGTTAAAGAAATCCTAAGGACAAGATGGGATGACACCCAAGTCATTGTTTGAGATACTAAGTAAAAATATGAACCCACCTCGTTTCCTACGATAAAATAAGTGGAGAAGATTTGGACTTACGGAAGTTTACAAAACCCTTCCAAAACTTAGTCCTCGCTCGTCAAATACGCTTTTTCTCCTGGATCTTTAATAAGTTATCGCCTACTTTATTGACGCAAGATTCCGGGTGAGGTCACACACTGTTTGTCCCCAATATGTTAAACAGATTTAGCAAAAGAATTTAAGATCTCTAAAAGGTAAATGAAACACGTGTAGACTTTGGGGACGCATCAAACGAAGTTGGAAGTTATTTCCGAGATAGAAATTACAGTTCCGTTTCTGTATTTAAGGAAGTGATGTTCCATCCGTTATACACTAGTATCTGTTACCATGTTTTAAGTGCATTGTACCACTGTTATTCGAATCAGCGTTTAGGTTCAAATTTTCAGGCCATCAAATTACAACGTCTAAACTAACTTGGAGGTCGCGATGATCAGCTTTACTGTTTATCACTATTCAGACATTGACATTTATGAAGAGTATCGAAGACTTCAGTAGTGTTGTTCAGCTGTAATATAAACCTCATAAATTCTGACTGAGACACTCTACAAAGTGCCCTTGTGACATCTATGAATATTTCTTCATGAAGTTAGCCGCTATTTTGGGCCGCTGTTTTGTTTCTTGCCTCTAGTAGGCTGGCAGATGAGGGAAGTTTATTCTGAAGATCGCGTTACATCAAAGTCAGTAGATTATGCGGTTCTACACGATTTAGCATATTATTATGCATTATTCCTTCTAATGCATCGATCGCCATGCGAATGAGAATGAAAGATCGTCGTAGAAGTCAACCATCAAGATTTGGTGTTTTACTAGGCATTATGCTGCTAACCAATACGAAAATAGATTCCTCTGTTATTTGTACTCGTATCGTGTCTGATATGTAATAAGTTCGATGATGGGTTTTATTACCAACAATATCCTATATCTTAGTGAAGGAACTCGATAAACTTTCAACGTGTTTCTCATCCAATACACCTAATGTATCTCAGTTCTCAAATGACTGTACTGAAGTGACTCCACTACTTCGTTTTGTTGTCCTTTTATTATACAAAAGCACAGTTTATGGATAAACATGGCCTTCAGTTGCTGCCGTACGTAATCAGTACGCGTTTTAACGGTCGACATTTAACATTTGTTCATGACTTTGGAGGACAGTAGTTTAAGTGTTACGAGATCCGAAACTAAGATTAAGTGATGACGCTGTTGTTGTCAAAAGACATGAAGCGTCGAAATATCTGTCTTGTTTGATCATATAATACACTTTACACGGAAACGATAAATACTAATTTACAGAGAGTCACCACTGACATATCAAGTTAAAGTAGCAGAATCCAAGTGACCGACATGTAGCTCATTGAAATCTTCAACGATCATCAGCCTTGCTCCAGGTGCAAAAATGACTCAAAGCGAATTTTTTCGTTAGATAAATTGTAATCCTTTACATATCCCTCCATTTACTGACCCATATCTAGACTTTATAATATACTTAGCTATCTGAAATGTGTAAATGTATGTTTCTCATATATGTTTGTCACGTGCCATTATTCAGTAGAAAACTGGGCTGAAGCTCCAAACCACTGTTTTGAGGGGAAGTTAAATATTACGAATACTGTTTATAGGACACTTGGCTATCTACAGCCACATCCTCTAAAACTATCTGAAATTAGTCCATGACTCATTCATCATGAATTTGAAGTCATTTAATAGAGGCTTTGCTGCATTAATCAATCATATTTGTAAGTGTCTTACACGACACGGATTGAAATCTACTGGTCACGGCTTCTCACCAGAAATTCAGGGAATTTATCTTGAAGCTAGTGATTAGCGAGCACATGATCAAGTAATCACTAGAAAAATGAGGTGAAAGTTAGATATGATCAATAAACAGAATACGTAAGGTTAGAATTAGGAAGTAAAGTGCTAATGAAATCGAAGTTCAAACATCGTTTTAAGAGAAGGGAAAGATTTTAAAACATGTAATGATATCTAAGCAGAGAGGCAGGGTATATTTAAAGGTTGCATAATGACATTGTTTTGTCGTATGTATATTAAGTTTTGTTATGTTTAAAACGGCTGTTATAGGAGTATATTAAAGTACATGTTATTATTCGGTTAGTGAATTGTGTATGTATCGTGTAAAGCTTATGCATGTAAGTCGTCATTCTTAAAGTCAAGTAAATTAACAGGAACTGTCAATTTGAAATTATGTAACGAAATAGTATTAATCCCGATAAGTTTGCACTTTGACAAGACACAATCAAGAACTGAAATTCTAAGTACGTCGTATGAAATTGTGTTGCATTATTATGATATGTATAAACACATTATAAAATATTTAACTGTACGATAAATGTATTGGTCATTCACCACACATGCCACACGTTGATTGTCTGTCTATGTATTTATTAACTAGTGCGGGTTTATTTGCACTTCAGTTGAATCTCGAATGTTTAGCATTCTGAATATTATTTCCTTCATCTATCTGAAATTCGGAATTATCTAAAGTCATTATTAAGAGGAGAATCATTAGCATTAAAATTGGAACTATCTATTTGCAGTTCAACATAGGATACAGAGTAAGGATTAGCTAGATAGTGGTCACAAGTAAAGTTGTGATCACCAACTTCATCATTATTCACGTTGTCTATATGTCTGCTGTGAACTGAATGGTCGTTAAATCTTACCGACTTTATCATGAAGATCCTGACTGAGACAGATTGCAGTTCCTCTGTCTATTTGTGGAACATACTCAAGCGCAAACCTCCGGACAACGTTTTGCTTTATAGTAAGTTACTAGTCTTACTGAAAAGGAGAACATATTAGGAGGCTGCGAATGCTTTGATTCCTGTAGGGGGCCGAATGTGTTAGGGCTGAATGTCACCACAATTCCTCCACAGCCTTTTTTGTTGGACAGTATTTTCATTTATTTGTTTCTTCTCCCTGTCATATATTTTAACCTTTGTTCAGATCTCGTTTGAGCTTTTATTATGTGATTTTGATGAATAACTTATCTTTTTGTTACTTAATTTTTATTGCATGTTGCCGGACTATTGGCAGTGAGGTCGTGTTTGACTAAGCTCAAGGTCACGGCGTGATTCAGCGTGACTGTTAACTTTTTGACTGTCTGCTTGGGAAGATTTCTGGAATCCCTGCAGATAGATATTTGATCTTGTTTGTTGGGAATATATTTGTTGATTCTCAGCGCACCACTTTGCGTTAGAGAAACTTCTGACTGTATGGCACAGGCTGTACCGTTTGAGAACTGTAACGACCGAACTACCAGTATTCAGTGTGAACGCAGGACTGACGAACCAAAATGTATTCGAATAGGCCAGACTACGCTCTTCTGTATAGCCCACTAAGCGCTTAAATTGAGCACAGACTTTGTGTTTTGATATAATTTAATACGAGTGTCTCAAAAATGCTTAGTGGGCTATACAGAAGAGCGTTTTCGGACTATTCAAATGCATTTTGGTTCGTCAGTCCTGCGTTCACACTGAATACTGGTAGTTCGATCGTTACAAACCGGCTTCCTATTGTCCGAATTATAATCTCCCTAGATAGTTAGTAGTCATTTTCTCGATGGAAAATGTACTTCTGATGATCCTTTGCTCACTAAATATGTTCAAAGTATGCTAGGTTTAAAGAGTCTATCCGGGCTGTCATGAGTTCTTTAATGTTTTGCATTACGATATTGAAGCAAAAACGTATCTTTTAGACTACTTGAATTCACTGATGTGAAGGCACTGTCTGATGTTTGAATAAGATTTTCTGCTAGACTGTTCGACTGAGGATCTTGTGGAGCTATGAACAGATGACGACATCGAATATCTGTTAGCCAGCTGTTAAACGCTTTCTGTGTGATGAGTTCCATAGTCCGCTACTAATACACTGAGAATTCCTTCACAACTAAATATCTGTCTTATCGCTCTTTGATTAAATTGTTCTCTAGAACGTTTCGTAATTTAAACTTCTGATCATTCTTAATATGAGTCAGTGATGGCTAAGGCGCAATATGAGTTTGAGATGGACCACAGTGATTGGCATACGTACCTTAACACATTTCTGAAGATGCAAACTAAGGATTCGAAGTACGTCTATCATACCGTAGCTTGTGCAAACAATCAGGACACGTTCTCGAAATTCGAATTATATCAGCGTCAATCTCAGGTCATTGACAAGTCTGATAAACAATTGATTTCCTTTTCTATGCTCCCAGATGGGCAGTATGAAGGTCGTCTAATACGGCAAATCTGAGTGTAGGGGAAATTATTACTTGATAATTAAAGCACAAAAATCACTCAAAATATACTGTTATGTCCTCTCCCTCTTTTTGTAAAACTCAGAAAATCTACGCTTGCACCAAATATTCCAACCTCTTTATGTTGTATCTATTACAGTTTAACTTACCGACATCTTTCATAAGTTCTGCTATATAAACAGGTAGTGGTTGAATCAACACACAATCACTTTCGTTAG